GGTCACTGGCCACTGGACAGCTGCTCACAGCGGCTCTTGGCCGCTCACGGTAGCTTGCGGGAGCTCACTGCAGCCTACGCCGTTGACCGACTCATGGCAGCTCAGCTCCAGGTCGAGCTGTTGTTCACCATCTTAGCTGTAGAGGGCGCAGCGTCACTCGCTCTCATGTGGGATCCGAACCGGGGCCCTGCTGCTCAGAGCCGGCGTCCCAAGCCAACTCTTAGTCAACACGCCACTCGGCCGGCCCCCCAGGTTTTTTTTAAGATTTTTTTTGGGGGGAATTGGGGGATGGGAACAGTGTTAAGGAATTGTGGAAGGGGATCAGCCAAGTTATTCTTCAATCTTCGTTGTGGAGGGCGCCAGTCGCCATCTGGCTGCCAGTCGGTAGCTCATGCCCTCTAAGCTCAAGGTGCTGTGTTCAATCTTAGTTGCGGGTGGGCGTAGCCACCGTCCCATGCGGGAGTTGAACCAGCAGCCTGTTGTTAAGAGCACACACTCTATCCACTGAGCCATCCAGGTGGCAGCTCAGCTCAAGGTGCTGAGTTCAGTCTTTAGTTGCGGGTGGGCATAGCCCACGATTGAACAGGCAATCTTGTTGTTACACCAGCTAAGCAATCTTGCCACCTGTTGGCAGCTCAGCGACAGCTCAGCTCAGGCTCAGCGTCACTGGCCCATGTGGGAAGCGAACCGGCGGCCCTGTTGCTCAGAGCTCGTGCTCTTAAGCCAACTCTTAACTAACTGAGCCTCTCGGCCGGCCCTAAATTGCTACCTTTTGATGAACCCACTCTGTTGAGCTTGTCAGGCACACACATGTTCACACCGTTGTGGTGGGAGGGTAAACCCCCACCGAGGGCAGTGGGCGGTGGCCTCGAAACGACAAATGCCTATACCTTTGATCCGGAAATTTTAACTGCTGAGAGTACTTCCTACAGATCCCTGCACACGGGTGTAAGAATGTGTGGACAAGGCTCTTCATGGCAGGGTTGTTGTGATAGTCAAGCCCAGATGCCTCTGAGCAGAGGGTTAGTTAGTTCAGCATTTATTGATCCAGTCAGTGAATATTTATTGGGTGTGCTGGTCACTCATCCATGTGCACAGGTTATCAATTAGCCAAAGAGACAACCCCCCACCCATGTACCATTGTGATTCTGAGTGGGGGGGAGGGAGGTGATGGACAATGAATGAGGAATAAATAAGTACCAGTCTGTTAGAAGAGCAAGTGCTGTGGGAGAGACGGAGCAGGTGAGGGCGGTGGCGGAGAGTGAGGCGTTAGGATGGTCAGGGTCAGCCCCCTGGCGAAGGTAAGCAGGGGGGAGTTGATTCTGCAGGATCCCAGGGCCATTGAAGGAGTGTGGGAGCTGTTGTGAACTGAATCTGTGTGTGTCCTCCCCGCCCCCAAGTTCACATATTGAGCCCCCATGTGGCTGTGTTTGGAGATCGGGCCTCTAAGGAGGTAATTAGGGTTAACTGAGGTCCCCAGGGTGGGGCCCTGATCCTGGAAGATTATTGGAAGAGACACTGGAGAGCTTGCCTCTCCACAGAGAGGTCACACGAGCACCCAGCAAGAAGGCGGCCATCTAGAACTGAAGGTGAGGGCCCCCACCAGACACCAACTCTGCTGGCACCTTCATCTTGGCCTCCCAGTCCCCGGAACTGTGAGAAATAAATGTGGGTGGTCTAAGCCCCCTACTCTATGACATTTGTTAAGGCAGCTGGAGCTCCGACAGGAGTCCCCCAGTGGAAGTTGGGCTCCTGGTGGAAGCAAGACAGCAGTGAGGGGCAGTCGCTGCCTTCCAGGGGAGAAGCGAAGGGGACCCAGGGTGGTCTTAGTGGGGGTGGGGAAGAAACTGGGGGTTCAGGATAAGCTGGGGGAGGGAGAGCCAAGAGCATTTCCTGATAATCTGGATGTGGTTCGTCCTCAGCAACTGGCATAACTGGTTAAATAAATTAAAATGCAGCCATTGGATGGAATACTAAGTAACTGTTCTAAAAAAAGAAAAGAATCAAGATGCTCTCTGTGTACTGACTGGGAAAGCTGTCCAAGAAATTTTAATATGTATTTAATATGCTATTATTCGGATTAAAGGCAGGGAGATTCTATATCTGCATTGGTAATGGTGTCGCCTAAGTGGGGACCAGGGGAGCTAGGGGATGGGAGGGGGGACATTCACTGAAAAGCCTTTTGCGTATTTTTTTAACCACTTAAACATATTATTTCTTCATAGGAAAAATTCACTCATAAGGCATTCACTAATTTTTTTTAAAAGAAATTTTATTGGGGAACAGTGTGTTTTTCCAGGACCCATCAGCTCCAAGTCAAGTAGTTGTCTTCAATCTAGTTGTGCAGGACACAGCTCCTTGGCCCATGTGGGAATTGAACTGGCAACCTTGGTGTTATGAGCACTGTGCTCTAACTACCTGAGCTAACCGGCCGCCCTGCATTCACTAATTTTTTGAATTGATGCTCAGTTAACTCGTAACTTTCACAGATTAAATTCCTCTAAACATTTAGACACAATATACAAAATGTGATTAAATTCTTAAGGAACACTTGGGCTTAGAATCACAAATGCAATATATTTGATTCACTTAACAAAGTCTCGTGGTTCTAATCAATGGAAACTTATCTGTTTACTAATAGGTCCATCTGTTTCACAAGTCCTGCAGAGAGGTCTGTGCCCAGTGTGGCATGTGGAACCATGTGGAGCCTGTTTTGTTCTGGTGCTTAGATCTTTTTTTTTTTAATTATGAAATACACATTTTTTAGAATTAGTTTCCGCTGTTGGTGGTTAGATCTTTGCAGAAGTTACACATCAGGTTCTCTGAGCAGATGGTCGCTTGAAGCTTTAAGAGATAGGATGCCTCTCCCTTCCATGGGAGAGGGAGTGGAGACCCACAAAACATAGCCTCCCCCTGGCCTTGTCCCCTCACTCCCAGGGTCAGTAGACATGGTCAGTGATGGCAAAACTGGTTTTGCAGCCACTTTGCCCTGGCTTTGGCACATGGAAAATTTGGCATCTGCCATCATTTTTATTTGTCTTGGCCTTGAGCAGCCCAGCTAAAATGAAGACAGCCCATTGTAACAGTTTTATGTACACTTGTGTAGACACAATTTATACAAACTATCTTCACCTACCAAGTTTGCCCCTTCTGGAATTGAAAAGTCCCCCACCCCCGGAGAGCACTGTTTTCTGTGGAGGCCCACCGTGGCCCCATGCGTCCCAACATGCATCCCAAGTTACAGGTCTCTTCCCACCAATCTTCAATATCAGAAAGATTGGCTTGATCATGCTTGATATATTTTTCATCTCATGTACTGTCTGTGACATTTGTGTAACCTGTTTCACGCTACATCATGAAATACTCTTCAGTTTTTCCTTTTTGTTTAGTGCATTTTGGGTCCTCTTTATTCAATCTTTACCTGTTCCAAGGTCATGAGGGTCCCCTATTTTCTTTTCTAAAAGCTTTATTGTTTTGTCTTTCCCATGTGGAATTGATCTGGCATGGTGTGAGGTAGGGCTCAAGAAACCTTTTTTTTTCTTCCCCCATTTGGATATTCAGTTGACCCAACACTGCTTATTGAAATATTTACTTATTACACAATTTTCTTTTTCATACAGTTTTAAGTGCTTACCATGTATCAGGTTCTGGGTGTACAGAGGTGAGCCAAGCCAGGCCCTTGTCTTCACAGAACTTATGTTCAAGTGAGGGAGACAGACAGACAGTAAACAAGATGAAAAAACATATCAAGGATGATGAATTCTGGGGGTGGCCGGTTAGCTCAGTTGGTTAGAGTGCGGTGCTCATAATCCTCGCATGGGCCACTGAGCTGCGCCCTCCACACCTAGATTGAAACAACTACTTGACTTGGAGCTGATGGGTCCTGGAAAAACACACTGTTCCCCAATAAAAACCTTTAAAAAAAAAAAGAATGGTGAATTCTGGGATAAACAATAAAGCAGAGAAAGGGGATATACCATAATGCGTTTCTCCAGTCTTCTATTACAGGTCACGTGGGCTGTGACCAATGTTTTGCTATTATAAGTAGCATTACCGTGGGCATCTATAAAACAAATTCTTGGGACTATTTCTGATTATTTTTATAATAAATGTATGGATAAAGACTTATGCATCAAAGAATATGACCTTCTTGGGCTTTGATACTGATTTCCAAGTTGCCTTCCAGACGGGCTTACCAATTTACACTGTCTCTAGTGCCCAGTATTGGAAGGATCTAAGCTGCCTGGCTTTCAGTGATTGTTGGGGGAGCACTTGGGGGCATTTCTTTATGGCAGCATGAACATACAGGGTCCCCTCACACCCCCACTTTTGCCTGTGGTATTTATACATAGTACTTACAATACCCTTCAATACCCTTCCTCCTTTCTTCCGACCCAAGTCCTAGCCATTTTTCACATTACTCTGACTTTTCCCATCGTGGCACCCAATTATATATTTATATTGTTTCATTATCTATTTATTTCAAGTGAGTTTATATCTTGTTTCCCTAGAAGATGGTTTTTCCGAGTCCTTGGGAAAGTTTCCACTTCCCAAAGCATGCAGCAAAGCGTAACACACATAATAAGCACAAACTAAAATCACGGTCAAAATGGTGCCTCTCAGAACCCCAAGCTCACTTGCAGACAGACGGCAGCAGGTAGTGTTGGTCCCACGTGGATGGGCCAGTCCAGTCTCTGTAACTGCACACACGCGGAATGCCTGAGAACCCAGTACAGAGTGTCATGAGCACTTAGGGGAGTGCTGGCAGCTGGAACTGGCTGTTCAGCCCAAAGGGGCTTTCAGCAAAAAGGCTTCCATCTGAAATGAAATAGGAATTGATGCTGCCTGAGGCTGTGCTGACAGTGACTTGTCTGTTTTCTGATTTAGCCACCAAAAAGGCCCAAGCCACCAGGAGGAGCCTGCTGCACGTGCCCTACGGAGATGGCGAAGGAGAGAAACTGGACATCTACTTTCCCGAGGGAGTGTCTGCAGGTGAGTGGAGGGGGCTGGTGGTCCCGCAGCAGAGCTCAGCCGGGCGCCCTGCCTCAGCCCTGGCACCCTGTGTTTTGTCTTACAGCCCTGCCTTTCTGTGTGTTTCTTCATGGAGGAAACTGGCAGACTGGAAGGTGAGTCAGGAAATTCGGATGACTAGAGAAAGAGGAAGGTTCATCTTTCCCTGGCCTATGAGTGTCCGAGGGCTGCTGCAGCAAATGACCACACGCTAGGGGCCTTGCAACAATAGAAATGTTCTCTCACGGTTCTGGAGGCTGGAAGTCTGAAATTAAGGTGTCAGCAGCCCGCGGCGCTCCCTTCAGAGGCTCTAGAGGAGAGCCTGTTCTCGGCTCTTCCAGCTTCTGGTGGTTCTAGGTCGTCCTTGGCTTGTGGCTGCATCACTCAGATCTCAGCCTTCATCTTTACACGGCCTCTCTGTGTGCCTGCGTCTCCCTCTCTTTTCTCTTCTAATGTACCCAGTCATTGGATTTAGGGCCCATCCTAAATCCAGGATGATCCCAAGATTCTTAATGACACCTGCATAGACCTTATTTCCAAATAAGGTCACATTCGAAGGTACTGGGGGTTAGGATGTGGACATACCTTTTGCAGGAACACTATTCAACCCACTATGTCCGGTGAGACGCATGTTCAGTCCGCTCTGTAAGCAAAGGGCCAGCCACATGACGCCATCCCAGGTTGCTTGGCACTGAGTGGCTTCCTGGGACATGGGCCTTTTATGATAAAAAAGAGCAAGTCCTGGGAAAACGAGGACAGATGGTCACCCCAAGATAAGCAGAGGGGCATTTGATGTCTCCCAGGACACTGCTCCCTAGGATGTTACTAAGGAGGTACCTGCGGTAGGATCTCCCACCCTCAAACATTCATGTTAATAGACATTTATTGCATCTTGTCCTTAGTCAGGTGACACTCTCTACATGTCTGACCTTCAGTTCTCAAAACCAGCATCTAAGAGAAAGAATGTAATTGTCCCAATTTTACAGATGAGGAAACCAGGCTTAGAGGTTAAATAAAATCCCCACGGTCCCATAGCCAGCATGTAATGTGGCAGGAAGTCCACCTTCTTCTCCCTCCCACGGGGTCAGAGAAAGGCGATGCCCTGCGTGGACAGGACCCAGAAGCAGTGTGCTGGCTAAGGTGCACATTTCTGTCTCTTTCTGCAGTAAAGACGCGTCGGCCTTCATGGTCAACCCACTGACAGCACAGGGCGTGGCCGTGGTGGTGGTGGGTTACGATATTGCCCCCAAAGGTAACAAGGGCGGTCTTGCAGCTTCGAGGGCTGGTTGGCTTTGGCGGGGAGAGAGCCCCCGATGGAGCTGAGCCGGCTCATGTTCTCTGCAGGCACCTTGGACCAGATGGTAGATCAGGTAACCCGGAGCATTGTGTTTGTCCAGAAGAAGTATCCGCGCAATGAGTGGGTATTACTGCAGGGTTTCCCTTTGTCAGACAGTGCTGGGTTGGGAGGACAGTGGGTGTAGCCCCTTGGATGCAGCCCAGCTGCCCTTCTGGCCTGTGGAGCAGAAGGCAAATTGGGATTTCTTCATATTGGCCTGATGCTTTGGGGAAACTGTGAATCCAGCTCTTTGCTCTGACCCATCCTAGGGGAATTTACCTGTGTGGACACTCAGCTGGGGCCCACCTGGCCGCCATGATGCTCCTGGCCAACTGGACCAAGCATGGAGTCACCCCCAACCTCAAAGGTTTCCATGGATGGGCACTGCAGCCCGGCTGGGCAGCCTCCACCCTCCGCTATTGGGCTTGGGGGTCTGCACTAGCTGCTCAAAACCCCAACAGCTATGAGTGGCTCAACCTGGGGGTTTTGAGCCCCCTGAGCAGGGCCTGCTTTGCTTCTCCTCTGCCTCCTACCCTGACCTTGCCCCTCTGGCCCTGGAGCCGGGGCTGGCCCCATCTTGCCCCCTCGCTGCCGGCCTGAGGCCTGGTCTGGGTGGTGCCGCCTGGCCCTCTGACCCCTTCCCCTTCACAGGCTTTTTCCTGGTAAGCGGGATTTACGACCTGGAGCCCATCGTGCACACGTCTGTGAATGCCCGTCTCCTAATGACCCTGTGAGTCTCTGCCCCCTCCTCCCCCCAGCTGGCCTGGAGCCTTCCAGGAGGGCCAGGCGTGAGACTTCTCTCTGTCCTGACCCACACCTATGCCGCGCCAGGGAGGATGCTCAGAGGAACAGCCCACAGCGCCACCTGGAGGCGGGCCTAATGCAGCCCGTGGGTCCCTCCTGCCCCATGCTGGTGGTGATTGTGGGCCAACACGACAGCCCTGAATTCCACCGACAGTCCAGAGAGTTTTATCAGGTACGCGAGCACCGTGATTTTGACTGAAGGTAATCTCATCATCTTCCTCTTTATTTCACCGAAATAGACCCCAAGACCATGAGCCATTTATTCAACAAATACTAGTGAGCACCGGGTATGTGCCAGGTGCTGAATGAGAGGCCCTCTCTCCTCTCCTGCAGCCTTACGCTGTCTCTTCCCTCATTTCTCCTGCCCAGACGCTGTGCCGGGCTGGGTGGAAAGCCTCGTTTGAAGAACTGCACGATGTGGATCACTTTGAAATCGTTTGGAAACTAACCCAGCAGGACTACATGCTCACCCAGGTGGGGCGCGTCCCTTCACCGTGGACGGCATGGGTCCTGCTATAGCCCTGACATGTAAGGAGAGCTGGGGAGGCGGGGAGCACAGAGGAGCCACAGCGCTGGTTTTTTGGCACCCAGGAAGTTGGGGGACCTGACAATAGGAATCGAGTGCCCCCCTTGTTTCTTGGACTTCGCCTCCCTCCGAAGTAGCCCCAGGTGATCTGCAGGGTCTGGTTCTGGATACACAGGTGGGATCTGCAGGGGGCTGTGGATGGGAAGAGGCAGGCACGAGGAAGTATTAGCCTGTCTGTGTCTCAGCATAAAAGCAAAGCCAACTCCACACAGGAAAGGATGGGTGGATTTGGTGGTAAATGTTTATTACAATTTTAATATGGAAAATCCTTGTAAAAGTCAAAGGATAAATTGGGAAAAATATGTGCTACCAACCTGGCAGATATAGAGTTACTATATATTGTTTTCTTTTTCTTTTTGGGCAAGTGGGCATTCGATTAGTTTCACTTTTTAATCAGCTGCCACCTTCGCTGGACTTTTATAGCATTCAGGGTTTTTTTGTGTTTTTTTTCTTTTCAAATTTTATTGGAGAACAGCCATGGTCATTGGTTACACGTTGCTTTCATGCTACAACAGCATAGTTGACTCTTTTGGGGAGGGCACAGTTCACAGTGGCCCACATGGGGATCGAACCGGCAACCTTGGTGTTGTCAGCACCACGCTCTAACCAACTGAGCTAACCGGTCACCCCTATAGCATTCAGTTTTCATCCACATAGTTCATCTCCTTACTACATACAGAGCCCTATCAAATCAATAAGAACCGTTTTTATTTCTCTTTAAGAACTGAATAAGTAGGAAAAATGGACAAAGAATAAGAGATCATTTTAAAAGAAATATAAATAGCCAGTAAATAAAGGGGGAGGTTAAAGTGCATTAATGATCACAGAAATGGAACGTAAACACCTCTCACCAGAAACGTTCGCATTCCCACAATGCCTAGTGCTGGGGAGCAGGAGTGAGGGAGTCCTCTCCAGGTCACTGCTGGGAGCACATGCTGGTCTGACGGTTCAGGAGCCCAGTCTGGCAATGTGGACCCAGTAGTTCTGCTGCTTGGATTCTGTCTTCAGGATAATCACAGAAACACACAGGGGCAACCTCCGCAGCTTTGTTAATGTTCAAACCTTGTAAGCAACCTAAATGCCCGGTGAGGTTAAATTGTGGAAGAATCAGATGACGAAATGAAGTTTGTGAAAATTAATTAGGAAATATCACGTTGATTCAGGTGTGAGAGCAGAAACACAAGAAACAGCTGAGCCAGCATAATCCTCATTTTAAATAGTTAGACAGCTAGACCCTTAGAGGCATATAGATGCATATGAAAACAAAACATTTATCAAGTGGTGTCACAAGTGCATTTTGGGAATCCATCTCCACATTTTCTATCGTGAACATGTATTGCTTTTTTTTAACTGGGTAGAAAACAAACACCCATAAATGCCATCTCTTGAGAAACCTAAGAAATAAATATTTTAGCTTTGGGGGACCTTCCGGTCTCTGACACAACTACCCAACTCTGCCGTTTTAGCCCAGAAGCCACCACAGACAATTCTCGTGAACGAATGAACGTGTCTGGGCTCCAATAAAACTTTATGTGTGGATGCTGAAATTTGAATTTTATATAATTTGTACATGTCACGAAACAATATTCTTTTTGGGAATTTTCTCAACCATTTGCAAACTAAAGCCATTCTTGGCTCATGGGTCATACACAAATGGGCAGCGGCTAGGAGGTACGTCTAACGCAAGGTTGGGAGATTTATTGGAACATTTCCGGTAGGAGGTGGGAAAGGACTCCTTCTAAGTTACATTTTTCTGAGTACTAATGCAGCCTGTTTCTTTAATCAGATCTCTCATGAGAGATCCTCATGAGAGCTTCTCCAATTCTGGGGCTTTTGTGTCTTTTCTTTCTGCTGCAGATTATTTTGAAAACAATCTTCCAGGAGTTCAGTGACAACCCCTGAACCTCAATAGATGTGCACCCGACTTGTTCTCCAAAGAGTCTGACCGTTTCCCCATCTCGCCAGTCTCTGCGTCCTGGGCCTGGTAGCACCTCCATTTGTCCACCCGCCCTGGCAAGAGTCCATTCTTCCCACTCCTGAGCACCGGTAGAGGTCTGCACGGCCGCTCCCTGGCCTGGATTGAGCGGCTGCAGAGACGGTCCAGCTCAGGACAATGCCTCTCCCCACGTTTGGCCCCCCTGTCTGCTGAGAGGTGTGACAAAAATGACAGTTCCTAACCAGGCATACACTTACCTCCAGCCCACAAGCCTTTTTAAACAGTTGAAAACAAATCAGAAAAGAATATTATTTCACAACATGTAAAAATTATATAAAATTCAAAATTCAGCACCCATAAATAAAGCTTTATTGGAGCCCAGCCACGTTCATTCATTTACAAATGGTCTGTGGTGGCTTTTGAGCTACAGTGGCAGAGTTGGGTAGTTGTATAAGAGACCAGATGGCCCCCAAAGCTAAAATATTTACTATCTGGTTCTTTTCAGAAAAGGCTGCTAACTCCTTTGTAAGAGTGGCCCAAATCAGTTTTCCTTCTGTCATCTGCTTCACTCCCGTTGTCTGCTCTTGTCCTGGACAACACCTGACATTTGGATCTGCCCCTGAAAGCCCTGGGATGTTAGCCGCCAGCTAACATCTTGACCGTGACAGAACAGTGACATCCACAGGCCGCCATCTCCCTCTGGCCCCCCCCCCTGCGCCCCACGGGTGTGTGCAATTCTCAAGGAGCCATCCACCACCCACCACAGCCCACCCCCGTCTCTCATACTCTGAATAGCTAGCATTTCAAGAATGATTGATTATAGCAACCGTAGGAAATAGCCTAAATACTCATCAGTAAGGAATAAGTACATCTGAGCAGCCCACCACCACGAGGCCATCAGGAGCGATTTGTGTTCACCGCATGGGGAATCTCCACAACATGGAATTACATGGCAACAGGAAGACGCCCAGGGATACGACACCCTACCAGCTCAGCGACGTTACCTAGTACGCACTCACAAAATGCCGTGTTTCTGCGTGTGCTCACCCGTGTGTTGGGGAGGAGCCACGCCGCTGCTCCCCTGGGGAGGGAAGTGGGGCTGGGAACCCGGGAGTCGATGTTGGCTTCTTCTGGGTTCTTTGAATCTTTTAGGATAAGACTGTAATGAGTACTTAGGTGTAGTCTGCAATTTAAAACATCACGACATTCATAAAACCTTCAAGATGCAGGCAAATGAGAATGACATTACGGGTGTAACTTGACTCCACTCTAGATTTCTAAAGGAAATGTCTCACAAACCATATGCCTTCATTTAATATTTGTGACTAATTCCTGTGGGACAGCTCATGGCTGCTGGCAGGAAACCCTCGTCACCACACCTTGGTTGAGAATTGCTCCCTCCGGTTATGACCTTTTAAGGCAAAACGCCGTAAGGTAAGGAAAAGACAGAACCAAACTTTCTCCCCGTTATGTGATCCTGTTTTCATTTAAGGATCTATAGACAAAGATATGGGCAGATGGCATTCTACACATAGATGTCTATAGATAGAGAAAAAGGGAAGGATATACACATGTTAACAGCAGTTCACCTGTGGGGTGAACTTGTGGGCAATTTTAATTTTCTTCCTTGTATCTAATATAAATGCTTATATTACTAAAAACATTTTAACTGACTATAAAGGTTACATTAAATAGACTGTGAATTAGATAACTGATCAGTGTGAAATTTCCTGATTTTGACAATTGTGCTGTGGTGAGAATGAAGTATTTAGGGGTAAAGAGGCAGGATGCCTTCAACTTATTCATAAACAGTTCAGGTAAAAAAAATACATACATACATATATAAGTATATGATATA